TCCTTCGACGTCTCTTCTAGCCTCGTCGGAGTTTAGGAGGTCCGTCGCTCGCCAGCAAGGCTAAACCTACACCAAACCTGCGCCAAACTTAGACGCCAAAGGCAAAAACATGTCGTGCTTTGGTCTATGGGCTTAGTTCCACCAACCTAGCGACAAGCGCGTTCCCAGGTAAGCAAGCAAGGCGCAGGGTCCGTGACAATTTTGGGTTTGCCTACTTGGGATGCCGCTGCGAACTGCAAGTCACGTCTTATCGCATGCGTCTCGAGCGTGTAAGTTTGAACGGCGCATACCCGCGTTGAAGTTTGGTGTTGGTCTGAAGGAAAACAGGGTCCTTTGCCCCACCAGCTTGCGACCTGCAGGACACGCCGGTGGACTTGGCCACCAACTGCAAACTATAACACAGCCGCATATAGGGCGACCAACAATTACAGAACCTGAGACGCCCACTTTGCTGACATGATGCCAACTTTTTTCTTGCGGCATTGTCAACATCAGGCCTTAGTGCTGCTCAAAGACGTTCAGACTGCTCGCGTGTGGAAACAGGATTTTCCTGCACGGTACCTTGTGTAACTTGTTTTTTACTCCTTCCTCAATCGGAATTTTTGCGGGGTGCCGTGCATGAGGCTTGCGGTCGACAAGAAACGGAGGTGCAGCAGGGAGGTACCGAGTCTGGGACCTAGAAGTACCGAGTACCATTGATCTAAGTGTGTAATAATAGTGATTGTAGCATAGTAGTGTTGCGTCTAAAATTGAACTACGTATGTTTTTACAGCATGTTGTACATCGTGAGTTGCCGGCTTCGAAGAGGCGTCCAGGAGATACGCAAGCATGTAAGCGCCGCCCACTCCTCCACTTTGCATGTCAGGCAATCCGTACGGCAGATATCATCGTGTTTAGAGTTTCGAGGGTGTGATGTCCTGCATACTCAGGCAGTCTGGCCACCCAGAAACCACATTATGCAGTGGACATCGCCGTTAGGATTGAAGGGATCGATAGCCGACATTAGTTTCCTCTCTTACACACACAAACACCCACATCTACATTCGGCAGTCGTCCGTTCGCTCCGTTCCGTTCTTTATCACACCCTCATGTCACTCTGACGGTTTTCCCCACATTCCGATCGAGATCACAGAATCCTGTCTCTTCACGTGGCTATGCTATTTTCATGACATCTCCTATGTGTTCTTTTTGCGTGGCGGCCTGACTCCCGTACCGTTTTACCGCCACCACCGCCACCAGACTATACTCCTTTCATCCTTTTTCTGGATAGGATATGGCGACCTCGTACGGCTTTCGCCGTCCTATCGTACCCATGGCCAGTCGACATTATCTTAGTTCCACGCCCAGCCTCTCCACAAGCATGCCTTTCATCCGCTCATGCAGCTCATTAGTCTCCTTGTTCGTGAGTGTGCGTTCCAAGCTGCGGTAGTTGAGGCGGTAGCACATGCTCTTGCGCCCAGTCTTTGGATGCACGAATTCATCCGTTAGGCGAACATCTTCCACAAGATCACCGCAGACTTCTCGCGCGATTTCCATCACGTCGTTTTCGTGGAAGCTGAAGCATTGTGGCGCCGGGGCTGCGGGTGGAATTGGCGTGCCAGATGGAGTTGTAGGGGCAGAAGATGGAATGGGGGATGTCGTGGATGAACCGTTAGTCACGCCTCCTGCAGGCGGATGAATAGCAGCGGCGCCACCAGCGGCATTCGAGCTACTCTTCAACCAGAAACTTACGTCCTTGAAACATGCAGGGTGCTTGCTAAAAGGCTCGAACCGACGAATGGCTTTCTGCTCGCTGAACTGCGATAAGAAGCGAGAGTCCTTTGACCAAAAGAGGCGTATGTCCGGGATGGAGTAGAGCAACATGGCTATGCGTTCGAGACCAATGCCAAAAGCCCACCCTATACGATTGGGGACCGAGGCATTATTCAGGATGGGCTGTGACACGATGCCGCAACCGAGCACTTCTAGCCAGTCGCCTTGCCAGAAGACTTCCAGTTCCCAAGAGGGTGATGTGAAGGGGAAGTAGGCCTCCACCCAGCGTACCTTTAGTGGCTCGTCTGACGTGGCAGTATCTGCAGCACCCTTTGCAGCATTAAAGATCGTGACCACCATATCCTCAAGACTTCGTTTCAGGTGTGCAGCCATAGCTTCTGTTTCTTCTGCTGAATGCCCTGATTGAAGTGGGTTACGCTCGGCGTGAAATGGAGGGTTTGGGTCTTCAACTGCAACATTATGCTTGGGAATCTTCTCCACATCGTCCCAGATGACCTGCGCAAGTGTCTTGCCCTCTTTCTCTGCTTGCTGACGATCCCAAGTTCTTGCTCCCTCCATCTGATGGAAAACAGGATAATGGCTTCTGTCGATAGCATCTCGTCGGTATACGTCAGCGCTGATGAGGTAGCCCTCGCTTTCATTGTTGCGGAAGGTGTCGGCTTGGTGAGCCGAGGTGTGTGTTCGTAGTACGGTCTCCTTATTTATGTAGTACGTGTCCGTCTTACTTCGACCTATGTGATCTAATGGAAAGCCGAGAGAATCGAAATTTTGGCCGGTGGTGACGATAGGGAAAAGATCATTATGGGTCTTGTAACCCGGAAAGCGTGATTCGATAAGTTTTCGTGTGATGGTCAGAGGGTGATCTGGTTGCAGATGAAGGCGTCTTGGTATAGCGTCGAGGATAGTTGAGGGTGTGTTCATCCATTCATCGGTTTGATACGTTCGTCCTTCTATCTTGACTTCTTTCGGGAATGCGCCTATGAAAACTTAGATGCCATACTCCGAAACTTCTTTATGCTCCCAAAGACACAAAGTCGCTGCTCAACACCAATACAGCGATAGCGGGATGAAAGCATGTTTATCATCTGCATCCTCCGAGACTCGCTCAACGCCGGAGTAGTACATTCGCTGCGATATGGGAAGCCGTGAGTCGCGTCACATGACAGCAAACTCACCAGAAGAATTATATCTCACCGCTTGCCGCCACGGCCAGGGCGACACTGAGCTCCGCGGTACTCGCAACAGGGAATTTCGACCTAATTGACGGCAAATCGCCGTGGAAGAAAGTAGTATTCGCATCTTTGATGATGAGATTCGCCGTTACCTTCGCGACCTCAAAACCACGCGCGCCGCCAAGCCCTGCCCGCCAGCTCCGAGCTTAAATCCGGAAGCAGCACGTTTTGCCGATGACGTCCGCGTGCCGAATTCTCGGTCCCTCAACTACCACCGAAGCTTTGCAGGCTTCCTTACTTTTAAGGCTACAGCTTCCCTGTCCCTGTCAGCTACACATGCTGTTGCTGCGCGGCCCTTCACCTTCAACATGGCGGACGTCAAGAAGCCCGTGAGCGTGCCTGAGCTACGGAAGAGCGAAGATGTGAAGCCTCTCAAGAAGACGCCCATACGCTATCCGTTCTGGTTTGGTGGAAGCGCAAGTTGTTTTGCGACTTTCTTTACACATCCTCTGGATCTTGGTAAGCTTTCCCGCGCTTTTCGTGTAGCATTGGACAGTTGGCTAATACTATGAGCAGTGAAGGTAGCTCTCTCGACAGTCGCGTGCGCCAATTTGAATATACTCACGAATTAAGGTCCGGTTACAAACACAAACGATATCTGGCGTCAAGTTAAATATGATGCAAATGTTTAAGCATGTCATCAAGACTGATGGCGCATTGGGGCTGTACAAGGGCGTAAGTCGTCTTATCCATCCAATTCCAATTTGACCCGTCTAATGCGACAATAGATTTCCGCAGCCCAGCTCCGCCAAGGAACATACAGCATGACACGCTTCGGTGTCTACGAAACCCTCAAAGACCGCATGACGACCGCCGACACGAAACCCTCGTTCCTCACGCTCGTGGGCATGGCCTCCATATCAGGATTCCTTGGAGGATTCGCCGGTAACCCAGGAGACATCTTGAACGTACGGATGCAGCACGACGCAGCATTACCGAAAGAAAAGCGAAGAGGATACAAGAACGCGATTGATGGGATAATACGAATGTCGCGGGAAGAAGGAGTAGCAAGTCTATGGAAAGGCGTCTGGCCCAACTCGTCAAGAGCTGTGCTCATGACAGTTGGACAGTTGGCAACATACGATGGGTTCAAGCGCGTGCTGCTGAACTACACGCCGCTACAAGACAACCTCACAACACATTTCTCAGCATCCTTCTTGGCTGGGTTTGTAGCTACAACGATATGCTCGCCAGTAGATGTCATCAAAACCAAAGTCATGAGCTCCAGTGAGAGTGTAGGACTAGTGAAGACTGTCACAGACACTATGAGAGCAGAAGGGTTCCGCTGGATGTTCAAGGGCTGGGTACCGAGCTTCATTCGCGTCGGCCCGCACACGGTGCTCACGTTCCTGTTTTTGGAGCAACATAAGAAGGTATACAGGCAGTTGAAAAAGTTGGAATAGATAAAAGGGGAATGGGCAAGACGCGCATGTGCTTGGTGCAATATCGGGTATGCGATGAGGCGAGTGATACCACATGGGCGGGCGTTTGGCGCTGACAGCATTGCGCGGCGCGACATCATAGACTAGGCTTGGATGCATTGGTTGGCTTGTATATACATACGACTGATGTGCATGTACCTTAGAAAATATCAAAAAGTACACATCCCAGTACCAATGTTTGTTGATACGCTGTTATACCTTCCAGCAATCTGGACACGCCAAACCCGACTTGACCGTACGTCAACGCCATCTACCAGCTAGCCACTACAGGCTTTGTATTCGCCCAGATTAATCAGAATTGTGTAGTATAGACGCTGGGGGGTCTGAAGAATTCATGGGTTGCGAAAGGATGAGCAACACAGCCTTTGACAGGCATACAAAGCATACAAGATGCATTTGGGTAGGATGCAACACTCTGCATGCTTCACAGGAGACAACACAAAGTTTAAGACATAGTAAGACTGCTACTATTGATACAAAGATCACGATGATCAAGTTCGCTTGCTTCAGTACCTCACTTTCTATCTTCTATCTCTCGCCCAACAAAGTCATATCAAGCATCCCCTCCATTCTCAAGCTGCATTGTCATCCAATCCTCACAGATCTTCTGTACAGCTAACATCTTTTCATCTCCATCTACTTCCAACGAACGGGTGCCCGGCTGTATCTTCATGTCCGCGAAACCCCTCTCGGCCTCCTTTCGTTCTTTAACATACCTCGCACAGGCCTCTTTCCTCTCATTCTGTTTCTGGACCTGTTCTGGCTGCAAATTCTTGATGGCGCTATGTATCTTTCGCGGAAAGTTCTCGAGAAGGAATCCACTGGTCTGTTTCTCACGCGTGTCATCCCTCTGATCATCCGTGCTGGGCTCACCATGCTTCCTCGCCCATCTTTCCATAGCGCTGTTCAAATCCCTCTTAACCATGACAACAAGATTTTCGTCAGGAATCCGAAGCCTGCCGTCCTCTAATTTTTCATTGTATGCCGTGTCATTCGAGAGGGCGCGAAGTCTTTCTTCGCCATCTGATGCCCGAAACTGTTGACAGGTAGCGTTGACATCAGTAGTACGCTTCAGGCACTTTATGTCTGACCTAAGCAGGGCTTCGCCTATTTCTTCAATGCCCGAGTGTTCTGGACCGATGATGTAGATGCGAGCTTCTTTGGGCGTGACGCCGCGATACATCGATTCGTCAGACATGAGTATCTTGAGATCGGAAAGATTGCTTTGGCGAAGGGTTGAGTGCCGTGTGAAAGAGGCTAAGTATATATACATGTTGGATCGCGATTGCTTTGCAAGTTGGGCAAGCGAGCCGGACACCGGACTCAATGTTTGTCTGGAGTTGGACGTCTTTAAAGGATACGGATGACCAGTATCATGCGCTAGATATTGGGAGTGAGGTGCATACGGCGACAGTATGATGCACAACGAGGATATAATCCGTGGGAATCAGGGAGTGGCGCTGATCATATGAAGAGGGAGTACGGAGAATACAAGAGTATGGAAGCATGATGCTCAGAATACCCGGTGGGCGATGCTGAGGCAAACATGGGCCTGGCAGAACATGAGCTTAAGGGATTGCAAGATGTACGCGCGATGGGAAGAAGCGTTGACGATGGAAAAGCTAAGATCAGCAAGGTCGAGATGGACAATGAGAACAGCAAGAGACATGTCGGATACGAAGGTTGTGGAGCGGTCGTGAAGTGATGCAATTGTTTATTGAGACAACTGCCTTAAGCAGTCAGTGGTATGAGAAGCGCCTATTCCCTAGAATGCCCGAAGTTTTCATTCAGATACAGGAGCCCACACCGTTATTTTCGTGCCGACGCCAATGTAATCATTCCACGACCCAATCATGAACTCATGATAACGCTCTAGTGCTTCATGGAAGACGCCCTCCTCTTGCGGGCCTCCTCGTGTGCGGCCTTGGCGTCGTTGATGCGCTTGGAAAGGATCTGAGCGTACTCGTTCTGCAGTATCGTTAGCCTCTATATTGCTTGTAGTGGAGTGGTGTAGACGTACGGCAGCATCCTTGGAAGCCTCCGCGCGACGGCGCTTGAGTGCGAGCCTGTGGCGCTTGTGCTGGAGACGCTGAGGAGTAACAAGACGCTGGATCTTGGGGGCCTTGGTGTAGGGCTTTGCGCCCTCCTTCTTGGGGACGACTTCACGGCGAATGACGAACTTGCGGACCTACACACGCAATGATTAGTACTCAAACCTTCAAACTTTCTAGCTCACTTCTTGTTGCTCAGACTCAATGCGCTGCTTGTAGCAGGATGAGCGAGACTCAATCCGCTATGCGAAGCAGGATTGGCGAAGAAGCTATGAGAGAACTCACATCATCTTCCTTGCTGAGACCGAAGAAGCGGCGGATCTTGGTAGCGCGCTTGGGACCGAGGCGCTTGGGGTGGACAATGTCGGTCAGGCCGGGAATGTCCTCGTCGCCCTTCTTGACGATGCTGAGAGCAAGAACAGAGAGGTCCATGCCGACGATGCATCCACGGACGGACTTCCTCTTGCGCTCACCAGTGCGGCGAGGGCGGTAGCAGGAGTGGCCGTCGGAGAGCAGGAGGCGGACACGGGTTGGGTGCATGACACCCTGCTTCATCGGGAAACCTTGCTTGTCGTTACCGCCGGTGATCTTGACGATGTATCCCTTGAACTCGTCGCCGATGCTGTCGGCGGGGACTTCCTGACCCATGCGGCGCTCCATGAAGACGCGGAGCTTGCGCTCATCGTCGACCTCAATCAGCTTCTGGGTGCCATTGTTGGGGTATGAGATGTTGAGCTTCATCTTGACTGCGGCGTCTCGACGGCGTGTGGAAGCTGCAACGTTAGTAGATTGTCGTGGTGTTGTCGGGGTCGTGGCCTGCGAAATTAGAATTATCGAAATGGGCCTTCGCTTCGTAGTGCGCGCTAATCGGAATGGAGATCATCACGTGCTAGCGCGACTTTCAGGTACGGCCCGCGGGCAACTGCGACCAACAACATGATGCGCCCCACCGGATGTGGACATTTTCAGATCCTCGTGCTTTTACAATCAGAAACTCTCGTTATGCGAGGTTGGAACTTGCAATACGATATCTCATGCTGAGCTCTGCGCGGAGACACGAGCAGTTCATAGCGAAGAGGTAGAGACATGGAGTACTTAATCAACACTTGCGTTACATTGCCATTATTCTGGCGTCGCAATGCCAGGTGGGCTCTGGCTACGCAATCCAGATGACACTGCATACACATGTTCACGAAAGAGACTGAAGCAGGCGAAGTAAAGTTGTACTTTAACGTATTTGTGCTATTCGAACGGGATATCATACTATGCCATACCCACTAGACGTCATTACAACCAGAGTCCTGTCAAAGAAATCCCCACTGTCCTTAACCCACATGCTATCGTTCCTAACTCGAACCCGAGCCATCCCAAAGGTAACCACCAACGCCGAACCATGCACTCACAATGTCATTTGAGCAGATGATGCTTTTTGAAAACAGAAAGAAAGAAACGAACTGGAACATCGCGCGACGGTCTACTGCATGAGCTCGACTGGCGGCCTTGATGTGCTGACTGCTATGCCCTGCGCCTTCTGCGATGCGATGGGGCCCTCGACGCCCTCCATCGCATCGATGGGTGTCAACGGCTCAGGTGTCTCAGTTGTGTCTTCGACGGATATGGCTGGAAGGTTTGGCGAGTCACCGTGGTCTTCGGGGTGGTAGACAACAGTGGTGCTGCCAGTTCGCCTTCTTGTGATCGATGGGCCGCCGTGGTCGGTGGTAGGCGAAGTCGCATCGTGGTTTGCATGTAACCGGGCCAGCGCTGCCGCAAGGTCTTCCGGGTGTACAATCTTGTTCGGCGCATCCTCTTCCTTCATCTCCCAGCCCATAGGTGGTGAGGGCGGCGGCGAGATGAAGAATAGTCGGTCGGACTTGGGGAGGGCGAGGTGCTGGTCTGAGGGGTTCATGGGCGTGTTTACGCCGAAGTAGACGCGGATGCGGTAGCCCATAAGTTGCTCGCCATCGAGGGCTTGTCGGACCTGGATCGCAGAGTCGACGTCGAAGAAGGATACTACGATGCGACGGAAAGACTTGAGTGGCGCCCATGTGTGTACTTTCGCATATTTGTCTACGGTTTCGCGGATCTCGGTGAGGGTTGATAGTGAGAAGATCTCGGGTGCGAGAAGATTCTAAACGCTGTTAGTTTGCGCTCCCAAGTTCAAAGTAGAGGATACTCACGGTTATGATGAGTGTGTTTGATGGAGGTGATGGCTCGACGAGCGGTGGGAGGTCTGAAAGGTCGAGAGAAAGTGGCGACTTGCTCCCCGATGACGCGCGGGAGCGCATTGGCGATGGAGGTAGAGTAGCCTGCATGTTTGCGATCATTTATGTTGCGCAAAGATATACTGTGATCTGTTGGTTGAGTTGCTGTGGTGAGTTGGAGGGCAAGCGACAGACAGCGTGTGTCTTATATCAAAGTTCGCCTTCAGCGGTTGGTCGTTGCAGCGCCCGCATGCAAGCAGCGACCGTTGCTCCGCCTCAATCCGCCAAGGCCAGACTCCGGCCATGCCATTTCCCGCGTCCATGTCCCATGTCTCTGCTTCTTTCGCGCCATTTCCTGGGCACCATTGCACTGCCCCGCCCTATTGCTCCCCAACGCACTGTGCTGCTGGAGGTCTCCGGACCTCGGCGGACGCGTCAATGATGGATTCAACTGACGATAGCACGAGACGCAGAGAAAGGAGAGGGCCTCAGCCTCGCTGATGCATAGTCGCCTGCCACTCAGCCTCATGTCCACGAAAGAAACATCTACCAGTGTCTCGCTGGTTCCACAGAACATCCTTTACTGACTGTTCAAGCACCGAGTCCACTGTTAGTGTCCGGCTTATCCATGTTAGGACTACACAGCATGCATGCAATACCATCAAGGCCTTATCTCGTCCGACTGGGCATCTAATAGGTCATCACTCGGCGGCAGACTCGTTTATTGTCCGTCTGCCATACGCATGCAATACGGCAAGGACAACTGTCCAACTCAGTCGGCTCATTTCGCAACACAGCCATAGGCGCTTTGCGCTTGAGGTTCTTTGTCGGCCAATAGTATCCTTCATGTTTGGGTTTTGTTGTGATGCTCAAGTTAGGCTTGGCCCATGGAAAATGTCTCATGTGTTCAACAGCAAGGCTGATCAAAGGTCATGCTTGTCTCGTGACTGTCTCGACCTCCGCGTACGCCGGGCGCATCCACAAGTCTTGATGCGTACAATCGTTGTACATGTCTCCTGTTTAGTGTGTACATTTAACACGCACGAGACGGTAGCTGCAGGTGATGCTACGACCACTCCGCCTTTGCGAAATCTACGGTTTCCCTAGTAACTCTCGAACATAAAGAATTCAGACGTCATTCAACCATTAATCTTGGTCTATGTGACCCTGCATGCAATTCCGCACTTGGCGTAATCTCGCCAGGTGCTGACCCGCATGATGATGCTACCACTACTGTCAAAGGTGTGGCTGGATCTGGGTGTGGCGTAGATTGCATGCGCCACATCCATACGCTAGGCTGCTTCGCTCCAGACTCACCTCAAAGAATCTCCATCAAGACGACGACCCTAGCCAGCACACCCCACACGCGCCAACACGTCTCTCTTCGCCTTCGAATCCAGTCGCCCTAGTACCTCGGCTCTATCACGAGCCTCGCACGCACACAGCCCTCTCCTCCTTGAAACGACGACGCGATGGACTACGACCCAGATGGCGGCGCAATCAATGTGCGCTTCCTCCAGGTACACCGCCCGCTCCGTCTGCCCCAGGACACGTCGAGCTAACCCAGCTATGCGTAGGCCGACAGCCAGCGCGCCAACTTCATCGTCCAGAACTTCAATCTCGAAACCGCAAACTCACTCCGCCGTGTGATGCTCGCCGAGATTCCCACCTTAGCCATCGATGTCGTAGAAGTGTTTGACAACACATCCGTCCTCGCCGACGAGTTCGTCTGCCACCGTCTCGGCCTCATTCCTCTTTGCTCCAAGGGCGTAGAAGAGCTGCTGTACTCGCGTGACTGCGACTGCGAAGGCTACTGCGACAACTGCGCCGTGGTTCTCACCCTCAACGCGAAATGCACAGGCAGCGAGATTATGAAGGTGTACGCGCGGGATCTGGTGATTGAGTCTCGGGCACCACACGAAGACCTGGGGAAGCCGGTCATCACTGATTCAGAAGAGACGGGTAGTTGCATTGTCAAGTTGAGGAGAGGCCAGGCAATCAACATGAAGTGCATTGCGAAGAAGGGCATTGCAAAGGAACACGCGAAATGGGCACCTAGTGCAGCCATCGGCTTTGAATACGATCCGGCGAACAAGCTGCATCACTTGGACTACTGGCACGAGGAGGATGCGGACAAGGAGTGGTATGTCTTGTTTAAACCATCCGAACATTGTGTAACAGCACGTCTCTAACAGATATCCAGGCCCAAAGACGAAGCCCGCATAAACCTCGACGGCGGACCTCCCAACCCCGACGAACCCTTCAACTATGACGCTGCCCCAACACGCTTCTTCTACGACGTCGAAACAGTTGGCGGTCTCGAACCCGATGAAATCGTCACCCAAGGCATCGGCATCCTACAACGCAAACTTGCCGAGATCATCAAAGAATTGTCTGGCGGCGTTGGAGGCCCGGAGGACTTTGGCGGTGCGCAGAGTCCAACACTGAATGGTGCTGGATATGGTGATGCGGGTGGATATACCCCTGTCGGAGGAGGCGGATATGGAGGAGCGAGCTCGTGGGGTGGTGCAGCACAAGGAGGAACCACGCCATACGGAGCTACGCCTTACGGGCAGTCCAATTGGTAGACGAAGAGAGTGGTGTGTTTGGGTGTACAACATTGCATGGGCCTGGCGTTCTAAAAGGTGTGGGCGTCAACAGACTGCAAGACTGCTCAAAAGAAACGCAGTCCTTCTTCATATATTGGCATCTACCAAGAAAACAAAGACACTTTGCGAATCGCTATCGAAAATGAGTTGATGCGAATGGCATTGATATCTCTGCTAGCTCTTTGGGCTGCCTTCTTTTGCTCATGGTTCGTCATATCTAATATTACAATATACGCAAAGCCATTTCGTCATCATGCTTGCTTCAACTTTTCCAGAATGCGTCTGAGAGGGGAATATATGTACACAAATGTACCTCGTGAATTGACACGAAAACGCCATGCCCCCAATGTACCGTGCCAGATCAAAGCAGCCAACCATACAATGGAGCCGAACCGAAGTAGTCATACACATGCGAAGAAGATCGTGGCGGCAGCGACAGAGGTCCTGGTTCGCGTAGGATGAAGCTCATATTGCTTCTAATAATGTCGGGCTTATGCGTTCTTTACAACGCCAACCTTGGCCGGTCGCAGTGTCCGGCCGTTGAGCTTGAAGCCCTTCTGCTGTGTGTGGAAGCAAGTTCCGTCCTCCTTGTCAGGCTGCGGCGCTTGGAAGACCGCCTCGTGGATGTTGGGGTCGAACTTCTCGGCCGCCTCGCTGGGGTCGAATCGCTCCAAGCCGTGCTTCTTCAGCGTGTTGATGAGGATGGTGTCGGTCATCTTGATGCCGTCGTGCAGGGCAATGAGGTCGGTGTTATCCCCCTTGAGCTTCTCTTCTGGCACGGTGCCGAGTGCGCGGTCGAGGTTGTCGACGGATTCTACGAGGTCGCGGGCGAAGCGCTGGATGGCGAAGTCTTTAGCGGCCTTGATTTCGCGCTGGGTGCGCTCTTGGAGGTTGCGGAAGTCGGCGACTGAGCGGAGGTACTTGTCCTGTGGGTTCATGTCAGTCTTGTGTCGTCTTGCATTCGGGCAGCATCGGAGCATACCTTCAAGTCGACAATTTCCTTGTCCTTCTTCTCTAGCTGCTCCTTCAATTGTGTCGCCTCATTGTTCTCTGCGGGTGCTTCCTCCTTCTTCTCGGCAGCCTCGCCCTCCTTTGCTGGTGCAGCATCCGAGTACCACCGAATAGCGGGCGTCGCTACTGCTCGTGTGATGGGTGATTGTTGACGTAGTGGCGCAAAAGGCCGTATTGAGCGGGCAGCCTGCTGTCTTGAGGCGCGGAGGATGGTTCTTTGCAACATTGTGTGGTATGAGATGTGGAATGCAGCAGAGGATGCAAGGTTTATGCGAAGGCGATAGTGTAGCTCAGGTGGATGCGATGATGAGGAAGACGTTCGAGAAAAATTCGGAGCTGTGAGTGACGAATGCCTGTGCTTCCATCAGGGTCCAATTCTTTCCGTTCCGAGGCGGACCCTTTCCGAACAATTTGCCATCCGGCGATCGCATACGCCTTTGACATGCATCTCGACAAGTCAATGCCATGATGCGTGATGCGTCCTTCGCCAGTCTTCTCCTTGCGTATACGCTCGTTTGTCTCGCGACATGACGTCGTCCCGCCATCTGCGACAGTCCAGAAACCTATCGAGGCGGCCTATTATCGCGGGGGTACATCGCGAGGCGTAATCCTACAGCCGCAAGCCTTGCCTAAAGAGCGCGCAAGATGGCCAACCATATTCCGCCAGATCATGGGGAGTGGTGATCCTTATGGGCGGCAACTTGACGGGATGGGTGCGGGCATATCAAGTCTGAGTAAGATATGTCTCGTAGAACCCTACGGAAGGAGAGTGGCTTTGCCCGAGAGAGCCACTCGATTTCGAACAGGCTTTGGTGGTATTGATGCAGCTCGTAAAAGTGCGCAGGCTGTACAGGCTGCAGAGGCTCTGGAAGAGGCGAAAGCGACTGGGGAGGAGCCAAAGCTAGACATTGACTACACATTCGTCGGCTTGGGCATTGAAGACGATGAAGTCGACGTCGCAGGCAACTGTGGAAATATGAGCAGTGCAATTGGCCCTTATGCTTATAACGCCGGTCTTCTCCCATCAAAAATATACGCCCAAGGAGACGGAGAGGTCACAGTAAAGATACGGAACACCAATACTGGGAAGGTGATCGACTCTACCTTCGAAGTCATAGGAGCGCAAGCTGCCGTCGCGGGTGACTACAGCATTGACGGCGTTACCGGAAAAGGCTCAAAGATCAGATTGGATTTCAATCGTCCATACGGTAGCAAAACTGGCAGAGTGCTACCTACTGGCAGGAGAGTGGACAACATTGGGGGCTACAGAGTATCGTGCATAGATGGCGCGAACCCAGCGATCTTCGTCCGAGCAGACGATGTCGGAGTGGATGGTACCATCCTACCCGACGACTTCAACAATCTTCAGGAAAAGCTTGCTTTGCTCGAAAGCATTCGCAAAGCCGCTGCCGTTGTCATGGGTATTGCATCTACAGAGGATGAGGTCCCTCGTACCGTTCCCAAGATCGGCATCGTATCACAATCATCTGCGCACCCCGTCTTGTCAGGGAAGACTCTCAAGGCATCACAGATGGACATTGTCGTACGTTTTCTGTCAGATACACAGCCTCATCGAGCCATTCCTTTGACTGCTGCACTGACGACAGCCGTCGCGGCGCGCATTCCCGGAACAGTTGTCGAACAGATGCTTGCTCCTGAGCCTTTAATGGAGGGCGCCATCACCATAGGTCACGCAAGTGGTCGACTGCAGGTCAACGCCACGATGGATGCAAGGAATAAACTCATCCCCGCCACTGGTACAGTATACAGAACCGCGAAGAGGCTGTTCGAAGGAAATATTTTCTGGGCCGACAAATTCGGTGAGACGGAACCTAGGGAAGACACTACTGAAACTGGTGCCACTTATGGTAGTAACGGCCGACACTCCCTCGGTCTAGCTTTCGTTTTGGAGAACCGCGGCAAAGACTCATCCCACCTCTTCGAAGAAGACGTCGCACGTGCAAAGCAACAAGAATCGGCTGATGCCGACATGGACCGAATCATAAGCCAACAACCGACTCTAGAGCAGATTGAAGAAAACGAGCAGAAAGAGGAGCCCGAGGTCCCGATCCTAGTTTACAGACCCCTCCCCGACCCGCACAGGAAGCGTCGCGACCTGCGGGAAACACCCAAAGAAGAAGACGCCCTCACACTCGCCATTCAAGGCCTACACTCCGAACTCACCGGACTGCTGCACGATGAAAAGATCATGGACACCACGGAACGGAACTCTAACCTTCTCGAAGCTGTCCTCAGAGCACACCGTTCCATCCAAATTAGCACCCTGAACCAAAGACGGTCAGCCGAGAGGGCTAGCGAGAAGGCGAAGAAATCTGAGGTTCAGAAAAAGAGAACTCGTGCACAGAAGGTTAGAACGAGCGGGAAGTTGAGATGGGACCATGTGGAAAGGGCAATCTCCGCCCGCGTTACGGAGCAGGCAAGAAAGAGGGTGGAGAGTTGGGAGAGGACGGAGAGGACGGATACCAATGATATGGATGAACATATGGGGAAGAGAATGGAAGGGAAGATGGCGGTCCGAGGTGATGGCGGTGAAGAGCAGAAGACGGAGAGGTCGGTGAAAGAAGACATGAAGGGATGGATGAGGAAACGCCAAGACCGTGAGAGATGACATGGAATAATGGGAGAGGAGCCAAGAAGAGAAGGAGGAAAGAAGGACGATGAGAGAAGACTTGGAAGAAATCCTGAGCAGCCGCGAAAAGGGTGACACTTCGATGTTTAGTAGGGACCCGGAATTTGATGCTTTGGTGCAGACAGAGCCGGGAAAGAGGGCTCCTAGAGATGTAGGACCGACGAAGATTAGCAGTTACGTCGTTAAGACGGCGGAAAGGAAGGTAAAGCTGTCGCAAGGTTTGTACTACAAGCCGAGGTCGTGGAATTCGAGATGATGGAATGAAAAGAAGAGTACAGGTTGCAGCTTGTGCTATCTGCGAAGACTGGTCAATGGTAACAGACCGAAGCAGACCTCGATTGTAATTCAGAACCAAAACTTTTGATCCCCAGACTAGGAATAAGTCTGCTCATCTCAACCTATATCCCCATCCATCCCCCGAAGACTTACCTTACCTTACCTACCTGATAATCGTGCCCTGTCTTTCGATACCTCCAGCATAAGGCCCCTCAAGGATATCACTTCCGCCTAACAAGCCCATCGAGCCACCACCCAGCAAGCCGCCCGCACCCACACTACCCCGTCTATCACTCCAAATCTCATGAAACCGAATCGCCATATCACTCGCGGCCACAACAATACAACCTTCCTCAGCACCTCTCCGCGACCACACCCCGTCTTCACCCCTCGCTCGCCCACCATCACGATCGTCGTCTGTTTGCGGACCGCTTGTGGGACCACCTGGATACGCGACTGCACACAACGCGCGATTCTCATCGTACCACGGAACGGCAACGACTTGTTCGCAGCTGGGCCAGGCGAAGACGGCGATGCGGTATGGGTGTTCGGGTTGCGCGAAGCCGAAAGTTGCTGCGATCTCGCGGCGTGTCTGGGACCAGGTAAGGCCAGTGATTTGAGCTGCGCAGTCGATGGTCGCAAGACAGGTGCCGGAGCGGGTGTGGTAGAAGTGGATGCAGCGGTCGTTTGAGCCGCCGCCGACGGCGAGGAGTCCGCGTTGCCAGGGGCAAAAGGCCATGGCTTTGACGGCGGCGTTGAGCGTCCATGTGTGTTTTGCGGCTGATTGCGCGAGATGTAGCACGGCGTTGTTGCTACGGTTGGTTACAGTGTAGATGGATTCGCCACGTGGGCCTTCCCGGACGTCCAAGATGGCTGCTGTGTTTTCACTTGCGGGGTTCGATCGGAGTACTTTCTTGGTTTCGAACAGATTGCAGTTGTTGTCGTTTCCACCGCTCGCAAAAAGCTCACCGTCGGATGACCATGCTAGGCCACAGATCTGTTGACTGTGGATTGAAAGTCGAGCCAACAGGGTCATGGCACCAGTCCAACCGAAGAGTTCACTGTGCGTCTCTGACGGCCACTCCACACTGTAAAAGTAGATGTGACCGACTTCGTCCCCGATGAGCAATTCTTCAGTCGATACAGTCATTGCTCTATCTCGAAGAGAAGGGCGTTGCACAATAGTCGGTCTCCAGGATACACACGATACAGGCTTGGGTTGAGTTGCATCGAATCGTGGCTCAGCATCCAGTGGGCTCCACAGCAAGATGCGGCCATCGGCCCGCCCTACGGCAAGAATCGCTTGACCACCTGCTGTAGAGGAGAAGTCTAAGGAGGTGACGTGCTGAACATCTGCGGGACCGTTTGGCGGCACGGCGTTCAGGGAATCTGGCGTGTTGACACCGTTTCTCTCAGACCACAGATGAACAAAGTTTCCTAGGCCGACAGCCAGACACTTGGAGGTGTAGGAATATGCGAGTAGGGTACAGTAGTAGTCGTCGCGGAGGTTAGGGGCATCGAGAACTGTGAGCGAGGTCAGTATTGAGAAGCAACGGTAAGCAGAAGAACATATCGAAAGGGTAAGATTGGCACTGGTCTTCGCTTTGGTGGTGTTTGACGGGGACCTTCAACCTCAGATTAGCAGCAACATAACACTTGGGTTGCGTAGTAGATGGGAACAAACTCGAAACGACTCCGTCCCTAATCCAAGCTCCGTCTCGCCAGACATGTTTTGCCTGCGATGCAGGGCCACTATGTGGTGAGCTCGACGACACTGGAGAAGACGAGTGTTGGAGAATGCGATCAGTCGGGTCAATGTCGAGCGCCAGTGCGAGACGTCTCTCGTAGGCTTCAAGTTCGGCATCGGGGTCTGCTCGGTTCAGGAAAGCAGATTTGTACAATGGCGCGTTCGTTCCACTTCCAAGCATTCCACCTCTGCCAGTGGAGACTGCTACTACTGTGTCACTCACAGCAGAAGGCCCACCAACATTCCAGACAGCGCCAGCGCTGATCTGGCGAGTACCCAGAGGTAGAGGGGTTTGTCTGAAGTTGACGTTTCTTCTGTTTGCATTTGCGCGGCCTGAAACTACAGAGTGTGCCTCCCTGAGGCCGCGTAGTTCCTCGTTCATACGGCCACTCCTGCGCAGTCGACGGCTGAAAGCATCTGCACCTGTGCGTGTACCGCGGTTGGTGTTCTGTTCCTTGTTCCGACGCTCCGCAGGGCTGTTGAGCTCGAAGCTTTCTCGTGTAATAGTGGGTGGTCGGCGGCAAGCGATGAAACGATCTGGTGTACTTGTTTGGGTTTGGCGAGGTGATGCTAGTAGGCCACCTCGTGCTTGCCATTGACTGGATCTGAGAGGAGAGCTGGCATAGCGCAAGGGAAGACGGCGAAGCTTGGCGGGCGGAGAACTGTCGTCAGCAGAGATGTCAATGCAGCGTAAGTGCGGTAGATTTGGTCTTTCGAACGTAGTGACTGTATCTGTTGGAATGAGTGAAGGAGATGCTGCGCGGCTTGCATTTTCAACTATGCTGTCCGAGGAACTGCGATTGCTGCGTCGTCGCTTGCTGGAAGAGGATCCATCTCGAAGCGGGTTGAGGTCGCAAGGTACCGGCACAGATACGTGGTTAGTCGGACTCAGGTCTGGAGTTGACAGCGCTTCGAGACGAGAGAGAAATTTGGAATTGGACTTCCTAGGAGAAGACAATGGATTTGGGCAATGACTAGTAAAGCCGCTGTCGATGTCCCTGAAGAAGAGGCAGCTGCGACTTTGGCGCGGAGACTGCGGCGTTCGAGGTGATACCCAGCCGTCGGTACTGGCAGTCTTCGTAGGAGACAGCGGCGGTGTGAGATAGCCAGACTGAGACGGAGATGCTTCGTCGCCAGTGTCGCTCATGTTGGAACAGCTTGTGTCAAGATGAGTGGACTGGAGGACTGAGCTATGAGCTTCAGCGCATGTGAAGCTGTCTGAAGGAGAGGAGCTAGGAGGCCGGAGACCGGGTGCTGCCTGGTGTCCCGGTGTTATTGCTGCTGGGTTAGTAATAGCAATGGCTGCTGAGGTTGCTTAGGATGTTCGGAGCATATATAGGGTTGGCAGATGCGGCTAGTGGTGACGGCAACCTTCCGCGAGGGATGACGGAGGGGCAGGGGCTCCACGCGTGTAGTGGGGCAACATTCCGCCGAGGCTGCAACTCGAGGAAGCAACGCTGAGGCCTCCTAGACAGCGCAGAAACATATGGCAAGCGTAATTTGACTTCCTGATCGCTCCACAGGTCCTTGCTGACATGTCTAGCACGGTATATCACGCGGGTCGGGCCCAGTCGTCCGCTCGGAAGAAGCGCGGCAGAAGGAGCTACAACAGATCACAGACTACAAAGATTTGGCGGATCTGGTGAACACGAAGGTAATGTAATCAGAGGAAGCTTCCTTTGGATTCTGCTGACACTCGCTCTGCAGGTTGCCGAGAAGCAATATACGATCGAAGTCCTGGGCCTAGTCACGAAACTCTTGAACGAGAATCCCGAATACTACACAATATGGAATCACCGAAGACGCGTCTTGATGGCTCTGGTGACCGCAGACACCCCCGAAAAATCACCGGACGAACTCTTACAGGGCGACCTGCAGCTCACGTTTGCGCTATTACGAAAGTTTCCCAAGTGCTATTGGATATGGAACCACAGAAACTGGCTATTGCGCGAGGGCGAAGCGCTGATGGGTGCGGATGCAGCACGTAAGCTCTGGTCAGGAGAACTACAACTCATAAACAAGATGCTGCACGCAGACAGTCGCAACTTCCATGCTTGGGGCTACAGGCGATTTGTAGTGTCGCAGATCGAGCGTCTGACCGCATCCGATGACGTTTCCGCATCGGAGACAGCACAGAAGAGTCTGTCAGAATCTGAATTCGAGTACACGACCAAGATGATCAAGACCAACCTCTCCAACTTCTCCGCTTGGCACAACCGTAGCCAGCTTATCCCCAAGATCCTCCGCGAGCGCAACGCAGACGCTGGCTCGCGCCGTGTATTTCTTGACTCAGAACTAGCCCTGATCTGCGAAGCCATAAACACCGACCCCTTCGACCAGTCCATATGGTTCTATCACCAATACCTCCTCTCCATATTGTCTCCGTCATGTCCGCCGGATGCGCTTGTCGTCCAGGACCTGACCAATGGCGAGCGGCAACAGTACTACGAGCACGAGATGGAGTACATCAGGGAAATATTGGAGGACGAAGCGGATTGCAAGTGGATATACGAAGCGCTGCTCGGGCTTGCAGAGGCATATCTGGAGGTAGATGCTGGGACCAAGTCGTTTACAACGAAGGATATGAGGTCGTGGCTAGACGAGCTGAAGCGTCTGGACCCGTTGCGGCGGGGACGATGGGCCGATCTTGAGCGTAGACTGAACCTCTGAAAGCCATTTACGGTAGCCTTCAGGGCTTGCTTTTCGTATTCTCAACACTGCTAGCCGCAGTAGTAGGCGCGGCTTCCGTCTTGTTGTCCTTCTTCCATGCCCAGAGCCCAAGCACGTTTGACCACGAGTTGTCGGCAGGCGCGGAGGCGACAGCTTCCTCTTTATGGGCCGATAGTTGTGCGGAAGGTGGGGGTGCAACAGCACTCGATGCAACGGGGATGGGATTCGGGGTGCTGGAAGCATTTGCAGCGGCGAGTTCCCTGACACGAATGTTAGTGAAAGCGACGAAAGTACCTGTGGAGTCTGCGCACCGTTTGTACTCCTCCTCCATCCGTGCGATTCGCTGTTTCTTGAACTCTCCATCAAACGTAGCTACCCCAATTGACACTCCGACGATAGTCGCCAACGCGACAGGAAGAATTCGTCCCGCCATTTTGTGTGTTCGTTGCTTAAAGTGACGACGGCTGAGTTTGGCGTGTATGACGAAAGCACTCCCGCGGGCAAAAAGTTGAGCCCGCCGCCGTCGCCAGCACGCGCTAAGCGGAGCACGGGACGACGCGCCATGCCTTCAGCCATCACCCAAAACCTCACCCCGCCAGCATCCAACCGCGGAACGACATGCAGGCGCGTCCAAATGTCCAAATGGCGACAGAAAGGTTTTGTCCAGGACTCGGATGAGGAAGAAGACGAGTCTCAGCTCGAGAGTCAGGGTTCCAGGCAGAGTGTCGGCCTGAGTGGACGCGTCGAGCGCGTCGAAGATGGCCTCGTGCCGATCCAACAGCATGAAGCACCCATGGAAGAGGTGCGAGGGGTCGAGAAAGAGGAGGGAGAGAAGAAGTATGACGACGAAGGCATCAATGGGATAGAGAAGCAAGAGACGGGCATCGCCACGCCTACCAAACACAGCTCGCCGAGACGCCCTACGCCATCTCCCTTCACGCCCAAATCGACGCGCAGTATAGGAAGAGAGCCCACCGAGAGCCCTGATCCGCTGCTAGGCTCACCTACGCCTAGGAACCGACAGGCTGTACAACCTCCATCGTCACAGCGCCTGGCATCTCCGATCCTCCAGCCCAGCTCTGCCGTGTCCATACCTCAACTCGATGACGGCCATCTCATGTCCATCTCCGATAACTCGACTACTCCGATACAAGTAGCAGTCACGGAGAAACCTGAAACCTCTACACATGCTTCAAGCATACTCAGAGAGTTCGGCATCGCGCCGTTGTCCGATGATTCCGACGATGATCTCTCAGATCCGCCCTCGGACCTGGAATCGCCTCCTCCTGCTTTCGCTGAGCCCCATCGACGTACGGCAGTCCAAGTGGTCATACCATCCGCAACGGCTCTACAAAGACAAATCGCCGAAGATAGAGCAAGACGCGAATTTCGACAACGGAAGCCCATCCAAATGCACCCATATGCGCTGGAGGGTGAGATGTATCGGAGAGAAGTACAGAGCAGAGGCCTCAAGCCGGTGCGAAGAGAACGTTCACGATCCCCTCAGGGTCATCGCAGACAGCCAAACGATGAGTCGCAAGAACAGGAGTTCAATCCCGATCAAAGCCCTACAAGCAGCCCTCCCGAGGTCGAGATACCTGTTTCTACACCTGTGTTGCCACGTCCAAGAAAGGATCTCGTTCATCGGCCCACTTCTGGTCCCGCCAGACGTCCTCCTTCCACACAGCTCCGTCATCCCCATGCAGCCAAGCGTCGGAAGCATAATTTCTCATCCACACAAGCAGCGGCGGCACCGACAAGCATTTTTGAAGACAGTGAAATGCGACGCGATATCTGGTCCATACCTCCGAACTCGCCGCCGTATTCAAGTAGTCCACCATTACATGGAACTACGTCAGCTCGCCGTCCAGCTATGCTGCGTGTATCAACCCCTGCTCCAAACTTGCCAACGCCTTCTACCTCGTCTGTCATGCAAGAAGACCCTCAGATGCTCCAGGGCTCAGACTCCGAGCCAGCCCCCCACAGCATACAAAGATCCGGCGGAGAACTGCGTCGGCCAACAAGGGTAGTGATAACGGACAGCTCATCTTCGGCTGCAGGCTCTGCTAGTGAGGCAGAGAAGAGTGACGATGACATGCGAAATGTGGGCCGAAAGATCAAGGGAGTTTTGCCTGCTTCTTGGCTGCGATTCGATCGCCAAGCACAAGAGCGACGGAAGGTTCAACAACGCGAACGAGAACGCGCGCGTATCAATGCAGCTGCTTCTCCCGAGCCAACGGCGCCTGTTCGTGGAGTTGCCCAAAGAATCATGAGACCTGCTGGCCGACCTCGACAAAGTTCAGCCTCCAACACGCCTTCACAGGCTCCTGTTGTCATATCTGATGATTCGGATGATGAGCCCAGGGCTTCTGACCCCCGGCCTTTGCAAAAGGTGCAAGACTCCGTGGCCGACGCCTCTGCGTTAGCTGCAATGTTTGACGATCGTTATGCCGACGACAACCTGTCCGACATGGAACACGACCGTCTACCTCTCCCTACGCTTGGTGGGACAGGATCAAAGCGGAGAAAGCAGACCAAACTTACAGACGCTTTCGCGAAATCTAAGAAAGTCAGACTATCAGACGGTTTAGCAAGGAACGTTGCCACTGGAAAACGATCGTCTGGCGGTCAATCCTCGAACAGGAAGCATGGCCACTCCAAGAAATCACGCAGAACCCCACCGCCTGCCATGAGTGTCATAGACATTGATCTTTCGCCTTCTCGACCAGGTGGTAAGATGCCGCAGTTTCTTAGGATCGCCAGACGGCAAGCGCTTCAGAGACCAGATTTAGCCCGTCAAAGTGTACATGACAAGCAGATACGACTGCATAACGCTGAAGACACAGAAGAGGCCAATACCACTTTACGACAGTGGCAACGGGGAACACTGAAGCCAAGACCAAATGTTGCATCGCAAAAAAAGAGA